CGCCAGGGGCCGCGCCAGCCCAGCGCCCTGCCCCGGGGCGGAGGTGCTGCCTTGCCAGGGAGGGAACCCCTCTCCTCCTCCTCCTGGGATCCGAGCTCACCGGCGCTGCCAGAGCTCGCCTTTTATTTCACGCTGCTGCAACAGCAAGTGGGCTTGCTTCTTCTCAGATTGTCACTTCCTACTCTGAGCTACCCACCGGCCGCTGACCAACACCCCCAGCCAGGTTGAAGGCTTTTTCTGGAGGTGCCAGCCAAAACGTTGCCGAGCTGGAGTGACCCGTGCAGCCAGGTCGACTGCTTCGCCACGGTGCAGGTGGCCCTTTCCCGGGGCACGGGCGATGGCCAGGCTTCTCCTGCCAGAGTCCTGAATTCCAGGGAAGCTTCTCAATGGATGCTCAGCGTCCGGAACGTTTCACAAGGGGTAGGGAGGGACGAAAAAAAGTGCTGCTGCCAAAGCTAAAGGGAACTTTTCCACCTGGAAGTGGAAAAAAAAATGAGTGTGTCTGAAGAGGATGAAGCCCTGTTTCACCCTTTGCATGTCTTCTTTGACAACTTGCTGCTGTCTTTTATGAGTTTATTCAGTTTTTCCATGCTGGAAGGATGTGTGGGCGGCAGCGCGGCTCTGGGGGAGGGGACCTTCGTAGAAACAGCAGAACCTGCCGAGATCAATCCTGCTGGAGTTTTTCCTGACTTCTCCCTTTCCTTTCTAGGTTTGTACAAGAAATCTGGAAAACTCGTGTTCCTGGGCTTGGATAATGCCGGCAAAACCACTCTGCTGCACATGCTCAAGGATGACCGGCTGGGTCAGCACGTCCCCACGCTACATCCCAGTAAGTCTGCTGGTGACTGACCCCACCTCACCTGCCTCGTGGTTTGGGTTTTTCCTCCTCGATTTTGGGGACACGGTGTCAGAACGTGACACTGTGGCAGCTCCACCGTGGGGCGACCGGCTTTAAGAGGAGGGCTCGATCTGAAGAGGATTTTGGTGGCCGAAAATGCAGGAAATTCCTGAATTCTGTGAGATATCTTAACGTGAGGAGTATGCGTGATGTTAACATGAGCCCCCAAGAAAGATGTTTTGGTTTTTTTTTTACTTTCCAGCCTCGGAGGAGCTGACAATCGCTGGAATGACCTTCACAACTTTCGATCTGGGTGGACATGAACAAGGTAAAAGTGAAACTGCTGAGCGGGAGGCGCCACATGAAGTTAGTTTTCCTGTTCCTGTGGTGTCCCTCCAGCCACCTGCAGGAAAATCTGCCAAAAAGCAAAACGCTGAGAATTGACAGCGATTAGCAGTACCTAATTATTTGTCGCCCTAAATTAATTATGGAGCTATAGGTGGAAACAACCTCCTGGCTCTTGCGTACGGATTGTTCAGCGCTGATCTGGGAAAAAAACCAAATCCTCTGCCTGAAATATTTTTAGCTGTGGAAGACCTGATTGTCACAAGTTTTATTCTTTGGAAGAACTGCCGGATTTTAAGGTTTTCTTGCCTTTTGGGGAGTTTTTTCACCCACAGAAATACTGGAAGAAAGCCACCCTGGCTAAAAGAAGCAGCCTCCATTGCCGAGAGAGCCGAGTGAGCGTAACTGCCTGGCTCGAGGAAGTCGTTACTGCAGAGGGTGGCTTAGTTTTTGGGGTGTAGTTTTCCCATTGTGGCGGGTACCGGTTGTCACGGGGCGGTCTCTGTCGCTTCTGTGTTGCAGCTCGCCGCGTCTGGAAGAACTACCTGCCGGCCATCAACGGGATCGTCTTCCTGGTGGACTGCGCAGATCACTCGCGTCTCATGGAATCCAAAGTCGAGCTTAATGTAAATACGCTTCTTTTATTTAATGTGGTTTTCCTTCCCCTGAATTATAAATAGTAGCAGTAGTATTTTGGCGGCCGTATCGCTCAAAGCAAAAATCATCCCTCGTTGGTCGCCGAGGTGGAATGAAAATACTCAGCGATGTGAGTTTCTCCTGCTTCCTCTTAAACTCTTCCTCCCTGTGCTGTGTCTTTCCTCCCGCGCAGGCGCTCATGACGGACGAGACAATATCCAACGTGCCAATCCTTATCCTGGGGAACAAAATTGACAGACCCGAGGCCATCAGCGAGGAGAAACTGCGGGAGATCTTCGGGCTCTACGGACAGACCACGGGAAAGGTAGGGAGGGGGGAAAGCACCCGACGCCCAGGAACCGGCGGTGTTTGTCCCTGCCTGGGAACGAGTTGAGCAGAGAGGGAGAATCCCCAGGCCGGGAGGGCTGTGAGGGCGTGAGATGTGGTCCTGAGCCCTTTTTTCTGGGATTTCCCTAGGGAAACGTGCCGCTGAAGGACCTGAACGCGCGCCCCATGGAGGTGTTCATGTGCAGCGTGCTGAAGAGGCAAGGCTACGGCGAAGGCTTCCGCTGGCTGTCGCAGTACATCGACTGACCCGCGGCACGGGCGTGAAAAACGAGTTCTGCTCCCTCTGGACTGATCCCGTTCGCGGCTTCCTATGGACTTTTCTATTAGGACACGGAAGGATTTTTTTTTTTTTTTGCTTTTCTTTTTCAAACGGCACCAACCAAGAGACTCCTGGTTTGGTTTGGTTTGTTTTTTTTTTGGCTGCCCTGTCATGCAGTGGTGACACAACTCCTTTTCGTTTTGGTTTGGCCCCGCTCCATTGCACCGTTGTCCCTTTCCTGGTTATGGTGGGGGCTGGTGGGAAGTAAAACTCTGCGCCGTTAACGGCTGAAAAAGAGAGTGCCTCTCACCCCAGGGGTTAATTGACTTAAAAAAAAGAAGAAAAGAAAAAAGAAGAAAAAGCAATTATATTTTTTAAAGAAAGCGTTCATGTAAACAGCGTCCCTTCTAACTTTTCAGTTTTAAGCTTCATCTTGTTTAGTCCGGAGTCTGGTTAGGGTTTTTTAAAAATATATTTAACGATATTTAGGTACTTCACCAATTACTGAATCCAAGGTATCACGATAGTAGGAGTCCTCAATAAACGTAGCGTTTGGGCTTAACCGAGCTGTCAGGGTGGCTGTGCTGTGTCGCGCTGACACGACGGACAGGTCTGCTTATTTTCTCCTTTTTTTTCTTTTTTCGTTTG